AGAATCATCTGTCCAATGCTACATCCAGGGGCAGTTGGGGCTAGAGGGATGTGACTCCCAATTCAGGTACACATACATTCACTAGCTCTCATCAAGCTAGCACCCTGAAAAAGTATTGCAGCTGCCATGCCTCGGGCTGCGGCAGTGGTGGCTCAAGTTTCTTGGGGCTTCTCAGGGCCGGCCCGAGCCCTTTTGGTGCCCTGGGCCCGGGCGTGCGGTGCCACCCCCAGGTGCAGGGTGCATGCACAGGCCCGCCCCCCCCATGGCCTCTGGCGCACAGCCTGGGGCCTGCCCCGGGGACGCACAGCGCATGCGCTGCCCAGCCCGGTCCGGCCCGGCCACCACTGGTAGCACACGTGCTGGGCCGTGTATGGCCCCGCAACCATAGGGGCAAGGGCGCTGCTGTCCGGCGCCGCGGGGCCGGCGCTGCAGGAGCCGGATGCGCAACTCCTGATGGCAGCTGTAAGGGACGCCGCGCGCCCCTTACAGCTGCCATCAGGCGCCCCCCGTGGGTTGGTGCCCTGGGCAGCTGCCCGGCTCGCCCATGCCTCCATCCGGCCCTGGGGCTGCTAGCCAACAATTAAAGGGCTCAGGGGCCCCAGGGCAACTGCCTCCCTTGCTATCCCCCTCTCCACTGGCAGACTCCATGGCCAGCTTTGAGAAACACTGCAATAGAATGAGCTGGCAGGAGGCAAAACTTCAGAGGAGCAAGACCTAGTCTGACACTCAGTTCCACAAGGGGTAAGAATGACTATTCATCTATTACATTCAGAACTAAATACCAAATCCTGTTTCAGTATAACTACCTCCATCTTTGCCCCCTCAAGCATTTTACTGCTACTTAATGGGAAAGAAAAAAGGAGATTACTGGTATCTATTTTTAATACTTGGAAAGTCTTCAGTGACCTGCAGTGAGGGGTATCAATATAAAAATCTAATAGACAGAGTGTTGTATCCAAAACTAGAAGGGTCTGAATTGCTGCTTCAAATAATGCTGAAATATGAGAACAGCTCATCTGACAAGACTTCTATAATTCAGCAGGCCAGAAATTCCCTGAGATCAGCTCTTGTAGTTCTGCCTTTTGGGACTTAACACTTGTAAAAGTACCTTGGAAGTTTTTGGCAGCATAGGCTACACACTTAGACATCATCCCCAGTTCTGCCTTGAACCCAGACCTTGAGCCGAAAGCTTCAGTAGAATGAACATTGCTTCTTCGGACCCACCTCTAGTTAAAATGTATCCTGGACTAATAACCCCATGAGTTAGCTGGGTGGCCAGGCTACAGTGCATGTGTCCCAGTGGGGGCTGGTGAGTTGCACTCACTCTGCATTGTTTGTCAGTGCTTGTTTCAGAACGCCTACCCTCTGCACAGTGTGAGCTATTCTGAGAGCACAAATTGACCTGAACGCGTTGGCAGTGATAGCCCCAGGGGCTAGCTCTGTATCTGACAGCTCAGTGGGACAGTTGGTTGCAATTTTACAGTGTGTGCCTGTAAGCCTGTCAAGTACGCCCCTAGATACAAAAGCCTATTTACGGATTATTAAAAGAATGTACAAGGAGTGATCAGAGGTTAAATCTGGAACTGGAGTCCCCCCAACTCCCTCTAGAAAATGCCCTGGAATTTAGCTAAAAAAAATAGCAGCAACAGGCCAACAATAGCATCAACTCAAACAAAAATACAAGCCAATATAAGGGGAATGTGATCTAGCAATCAGAACAGAGGCTGACAGTCAGGACACCTGACTCCTAGTCACAGAATCATAGAACACTAGAACTGGAAGGGACCTCGAGAGGTCATCGAGTCCAGTCCCCTGCCCTCACGGCAGAACCCAGTACTGTCTAGACCAGGGCTACTCAACTTTGGAAGCCCCAGGGGCCACAATGATACTCATATCACATGCTGCAGGCTGCGACTTAAGTGTGGTTGTATATACATGCAGATATACATGTAAATAGCTTCTTTCACACAGACGGCATGAATACAAAGATTAAGGCAAGACTGCACAACATGCAGGCCCCATTTAAGTCAGTTCTGCTGATATTACTAAAATGCAACATTGACCCAATTTCCACCCATATGACAGCACTTTTAATGCCCAATGACAGTCCAAGAATGTAACTTCTAAAATGCATATCAACAGAAGACCATTATATTGACTTCTTTTTTGTTTTGGCTCCTACCTGAGGGCCATGTGCTGAATCCCGTGTAAACCAAACCATACTGCGGGCTACTAACAAATGGGCTGTGGGCTGAGTAGTCCTGGTCTAGATCATCCCTGATAGATGTTTATCTAACCTGCTCTTATATATCTCCAAAAATGGAGATTCCACAACCTCCTTAGGCAATTTATTCCAGTGTTTAAGCACCCTGACAGTAAGGAAGTCTGCTCTGGGGGCAGAAGAGCCCACAGGGCTCCATGCACAGAGTGACCTTAAGCAAGGCACGTTACCATTTTGTGCCTCAGTTTGTCTCTCTGGAAAATGGGTATTCTAATGCATCCTCCCCACAGGTGATGCTGTGTCTTTATCTCACATCTGAAGGAATAGGTTGTGTCCATGAAAGCTCATGATATCATCTACATTTTGTTAGTCTTTAAGGTGCTGCAAGATTATTTGTTGTTTTTTAAGTTTTTCTAGTTACAGACTAACTTGGCTACCCACAGAAGCTTTTAAGTTTTTATGGCTTCGGAGGGGTAGCCAAGTGGGGGAGGGAGCCTTCCAACACTCCAGTCATCTGAAGAAGTGGGTTGTGCTCATGAAACATCTACATGTTTTGTTAGTCTTTAAAGTGCTACTAGACTATTTGTAGTTTTTCTAAAAGTTTTTGTTAGATCTTTTTAGGTGATTCTATGCAATCTGGGGGTTTTAGCAGGAATTTCAGTTCTACCTTTGTGTGCTGGAGCTAGTATTTGCAGTATTGCAATAAATTCCAGTCACTCTATGTGCAGGTATAACTGCATGCAAATATTTCTCTGGTCCAAAGGTTTCAGTTAGGCTCAACCAAGCTGGCAGAGGTTATATCTACACTACAGCGCTAATTCGAACTAACTTAGTTCGAATTAGTTAATTCGAACTAAGCTAATTCGAACTAACGGATCCAGACTAAAAAACTAGTTCGAATTAGCGTTTTGCTAATTCGAACTAGCATGTCCACATTAAGTGGACCCTGAACCGGCTTAAGGATGGCCGGAAGCAGTGCCGGCAGGGCATCAAAAGCGTGGAGATGCTGCCTCAGGCTAGCCGAGGGCTGTGCTTAAAGGAACCCGACCCCCACCCTGGACAGACAGTTCTCAGGGGTGCCCCGCTTGCAAAGCAGTCCTGGCTTGGAGTGCCCTGAGTGCCCACACTGGGCACATCACACCACTTGGCCATCAGCCCGGCTGCACTTGCCACAGGCTGCCATCTGGGGAGAGGGGGCAATTGGGGAGCTGCAGGAGAGCTTCCCCCCCCAGAAGCCTGCAGAGCTAGCCCAGTCCTCCCCATCGGGGGCT